ATGCGCGACCGCACTATTACCTGCACCTAGTGCTTTTGCGTCAATTGTTATCGCTATTTCGCGAGCTATGCATGAAGTCATAGGGGATGGCAAGTTCTCGCTGGTTTATAGTTTGTGTATTACCAGACAGGTAGAGTTGACATCAGTACGCCATGCACGTGGGCGGCCTCTTGCCTGACATTGGACAAACAAGTGATGAACATCATGCTATTATACTGCTCGGCTAAACGGTGAACCCTTCCTTTGAACTGTGTTAACAACTCTTCACCGAGCCTACTCTCAAACCTGCGGAGTTGTGTACATGAGATACGTTTTGAGCCCAGGAATGATGTACAACAGTCATGCTGGGAGGGTTGGGTTTGTACATGCAGGGACTTCCCCTGTGACTTGGCGTTTTCTAGCGCGGCGCTGGAAACGTTCAGCATTTTGTGTTTATCGCACAATCTTGTATGGAAAGAGTAGACCAGATCACATCGTATGACTAACGCCGTGTGCCTGCGAAGCCGGTGTTATGCCGAAGGGCATTTGTACCGTCTACACCGATACATAAGCTGGTGTGTTACGCTGAAGGGTCGTTATACCGGCTATACAGATACAGAAGCCGGTGTGTTACGCCGCCGAAGGGCGCTTATACAGGCTATACTGATACAGAAAATATCGACCCATTAAACAAGTTGTGTCTTCTTTTACATCGAGTGTGTGTAAACATATATTAACCTTTATACTGTGTCTACTCTCCAGACCAAGTTCGTTGTGTGCGTTTTGGTACGATTTGTTACATTTAGAGGCTAGGAATCATGTACGAGTACAACATCCATGCTGAGAGGGTAATGTTTGTACCATGAAGTTAAGGTGTTCTTTCTCATCGAGTGTGTGCAAACATAACCTGTGTACTGTGTCTCCAGTCAGTACAAAGCTCGATGTGTACAATAGCTACGTCATGAGCCGGCTGACATATGTACAACATCAATACTGGGAGGATTCCTTTTGTACAAGCAGGGACTCTCACCTGCTTGTTGCGACTAGGTTCAATGATGGCATGTCATGTTTCGTCCGAATGTGTAAGATTCTCAAGTGCGATAAAAAGTTCTCGTGACGTATTGGAACAGTCAGAATTCTGATAAACATTACTGTTTTTGTCCTAAATTAGTCTCAGCAATGGGGAAACAAAGTTTAACGTATTATTTCAAACCAAACCATTTGCTTGCATATCTTTCAAAGGACATTTGTTGGAATGATAAGTGGTCAGAGACAATCTGATGTTTCCGTCCAGTATTCCTATACGTGTCATGTACCTGAAGTCTGTACCCACTAGCGCTATTGTGCCACCTATTAGGCAATAGAGGTCAACCATTTCTGTCCGCATACTTCTATCCAGCCCCAAACACCACGTCTGCACTTCTCTTACTTGACATTGGGCAAACAACACTGATGACATAATGGTATTATGCCGCACAGCATAGCAGTGAAACCTTACTTAGCAAGAGTGTAAACATCTGATCTTTGCACCGCGCTTACTGTGGAGCCTGTGGCGTTGTGTACAATAACTATGCTTGAGGCTGGATCCCATGTACAACAGCCATGCATGCTGGGAGGATTGGGTTTGTACTTTAAGGGACTTTCCCCTATTCTAATGACCTATTGATCGTACTACGGCCGTACCACTTTCTTCGGGAAGGGTGGCTAAAAGTTTGTTGGATGAATGTAAATGACTTAATCCTGTGGCGCACATTATGATTTGTTTACCAATTTTAATTTCACGACTGTTTTTATAATATCTTTAATGACAAATGTATTTGAAAACCATTTTCAAATGCCTGGAACCGCAACAATGTGATTGCATGTACCCCTGCATAATAGACTTCCCTAACTCCGCCCACTTTGTATAACACTCGTGTTGCTTAAAACAGTTACTCCGATCACCTCCCGTCACAATACTAGTCACAGTACAACTACTACTTTAATATTTATCGAGACAGAGAGCGGGTACGGTAGTAAGCTACAGCATGAGTTTTTTGCGAATCATTCGACTCGGGATACAACTCTGGGACATTTATAAAAACTACAAGAGGCTGAACACCAAGCCTAAGACTGGTAAGTTTTTTTTTCTATGCACATGTCTACATGTATATATAGGGACCTCTTCTTCGACTTGCAATCCCGGGGGCAGTAGTAGAATTTCACTACCCGTCATAAGGATCCCAAGGACCATTTACTTGCGATTATTACAAACTGGAGTCTTTGTGACATAATCCTCCAACTGAATATTGCTGCCTGAAATGTTTTTGTCATGCGACTCATTTTTTTCAAAGCTTGATTGATAATATCGGAAGAGCAGAAGCATTTTCAACTATCACATGTTAACCGGTCAATGTTAACATGTCATGTAGACGTTGCTCACATTGAAAAGTATATACTATTAGTAACATGTAGGTATGATTATATCTTCAAGAAGACGTATGAAGCCATTGAATTCACTTGAGTGCACGATCTTCAGTTTTGACAAGGTCGTCTTAAGTCGTGTGTTCACTGTTCATTTGTGTCAGGAATAAGTAATGGCCACAATGTTCAACTAATAACAAAATCCGTTAAAGTACACTGTGTATGTGTAACTCTGATATGAAATTCACCAACGATGACCATTAAACTGAACGGGAGAAAAGCTAGTCTGACATCAGGTTGGTCGCGCTAAGTACAAGCCATTGCCTCCATGGCTGTCTGTTGTACGTCAATACTCAATAAGGCATGTTTCATTTGAGTCTGAATGACTGAGTGCTTCCTGTGCATTCGTGTTAGAAACAAGTAATTGCCACAACATTTTGTGCCTTAACAAACTACGTGAAACTATTGTGTATTTAAACGTGTAACTCTGATATAGAACGACCAAAGCTACGATAGGTTACAAGCGGAAAGAGAGAAAAGTTAAGGACAAGCTTGGTGCAACTCATAGCTTCCGCGGCTGACTGTTGTACGAGAATAACCTGTAGCCGTACTGAATGCTTTACTGCGTCAATAAAGACCTTTGTGCCACAAAGGGCAGCAGATAGAGTTACCAGTCAGGTGAGTCAGTGGTAAACGTAAGATTTCATTCTAGAGAGGTCAGGATGTCAACAATGAACAATGCATGTTGTCTTGCTCGTACACCGATGTTTATGTCGAAGTTATAAGCCAACATACACATGTCACCGAATTCTATTTCAGAGGACGAATCTCAACCCCCTCCCACACAAGTGGACGGACCCGAGCATAGTAATGGTGGACGTACAATCTATTGGGGTTGTGTCAACCGGACCTACCATGTAACAGGCGACAAAGGTACACAATTTGTTTTGACACAGACTAAATGTATAACATTTCTAGCACTCGAGCTTCTGTTTGATGACATGAAATTAAAAAGCACAGATGGTTTGAAGCCATTAACGGTACAGTGCAATACTGCAACTAACTCGTGTTTTTATCTTGAATACTCTAGAGTCTGTGGCGACAGGTAGACGTGATGACCAGGCTGGTACCAATGACACAGGACTGAAGATCTATGTGGCCTGTGTTGTAGAGAACTATCACGTCACCACAGACAGCACAACTTGATATTATAGGCATCAGGACGGGGGTGGGGGAGGGAGGGGCAACAACAATAACAACGTACCGTACTACGACAATCAACAAGAACTGCTGCTGCTGCGATGTCTTACGGGGTTTTATATGATCACTTACCTGAACAGAATACAACATGTACGACGCAATTGCACCCGTTTGGCTTTCTCGAATGACATGTAATAATAGACTGCTTGGATTGTATTACTATGATGGTTGTAGCATTCTTCATAGTGGTTTACAACGTTCCAGAATGACATGAAATAGGACATTGATGTATATGATTAAGATTCACAGATTTGTAATACGTTAAAGAGAATGGCTACCATTTCAGTACAACACTAAAATGCTGTCAGGTCTTGTTTTGGGCACATTACAGCATTTGTAGATTTCAGTATCTGAAGAAATGCCTTATTAGACTCCTTAACTTCGCTTACAAATAGAAAGGCAAGGCTGTCTCCTTTTTAACTAAATTTTCCATGAAATGTAAAAATGCGAGAGTACACAAAGACATCGTATAGCCATCTAGTTTATTGCAAATCAAAGTATTGTACAATACGCAAAAGAATGTCAAAATATTACTATGAATCAACATTTGGTCATTCACAAAAGATGGAACCTACATGTCATAAAGCAAACACACACTCCTGGTGTTGATTCAGATAAAGATAAAAAACAACACTTTTCTATAGATACAAACAGTTTCTAGGATAGTACATGTCTGCTATAATTTCTATGTGGACATGTAACATGTAGCGAAGCTATTGTCGTATTCTTGGGTGACCTTGAATACTGTGATGATTCTTTACGCCTGTATGAATAACACGATGCACACTTTTGGGAGATATGACATGTCTGCAAAACTTGTTCAAACCTGGAAACATGGAGAGTCAAACATACCCCATTTACGGCTCAAAATGACTGTCACGGTTGTCCCGAAAATCGTGCTTTAGGGATTTTTGGAAAATACTCTTGATTTTGAATTATCGGTAATTGAGTGCGAAAAAAAGCAAAAAAAAAATCGATTTTTTCACCTATTTGTCGACAAAAACTATACTTAAAGTCAGAAATTAAAAAATCCCAAAAGCACGATTTTTCATCTTATTCCTAGTCGTCGAAAAATATAAAAATCAGTGACCTTGCGTAATATGTGTAGCCAGGTTTGCTCGGTGATTGGCTAAAATATGGCGCACCGAAATTCCATAAATTATCGACTTTTTTTAACGAAATCCGAAAAAATCATCCATTTAGCGCAAAAATTTACCATTGAATGTATGTAAGGACGATGATTTTATTTTATTTCAACGAAATTTTCCCTTCGATACTAGTGTGTTTATTTGCAAATGTTTTACAGTTAGCCCAAAATTGCGTCTTGTAACCCGATACTTTATCGAACGCCCCCAGCAATGGGAAAGAATGCCGTAGTGACAGACCGCCGTGATTACTCGTTACAAATCTAAAACACTGAAGAACAAAAGATCGCTTCTGATCTACTGTGTCTTTACTATACTGGAAGCAATTAACGTTACTTCACATAAATAACTTACATTACAAACGTGCAACACTATGATTACTCACCTATTTTCTATGCAATCTGCAGATCCAGAAAATAAAGCATCCTTATCATTCCCGAAATGAGCTTTAGGTCCTAAATAGTATGTTTAGCCATAGTTATGTCATTCATGTTCACCAATATAATATATCCATCGTACTTCTGTCCATACCAACATGGCCGCTTGAATGGTTCCCTTCCGAGGCAGGTTGTCGAACAAAACTGGTCCATAGAGTGAATCAAACCCTCTCCAATCTAACCTGTTCCAACAGTCGGCTTCTTGACCACTTCTACCACAGTGTCACTAGTTTAGCGCGTACAAAAAGTCCCATTGTGGCGCAGGAAAGTCCCAAAATGCCACAGAAACTCTTTCACTTTCTACTGACACGTACGACGTGCCCCCACCCTGACCTGGTATCCTAGCGACCAGTGACGTCAGAGGCAGGTGCCCGAGGTCACACAGGTAGTAAACAAAGAGGTCAGGTACCGGTGTACTGCACCTGAATACTGTCGTCTAAATAGAAGATCCCACTTTTGAGAACTCTCATAATGCCTTATCTAGATACCAACTAAACAATGCTTTTAATACATTGTTATGTACATGTAATTAATATGACAGAGCATATTACAACATATTTACTGAACAACAACTTCCATAATGGCCTGTACATGTATTGAGATACGTGCTTGTATCTAGCGATGATGAGGCATTGGAAATACTAACGGACTGGGAGGAAACTGTTGGTTTGTGGTCCCGACTCCTGTAGGTGCCTGACGAACCATTGGAGTCACCTGGGATGGCACAGAGGTCCCTAAGCTCGACGCTGTGGGGATCTGTGGTGCCGTGTGTTGGAGTCCTCCTGTTGTCATGGCTGGTGTTCCTACATGTAACAGGGAATGGTTTTATAGTTGATTTACGAACATCGATATCCCAAGGACTAACTAAAAAGTTTCATTGACCAATGCTGTTCCACTTCAAATATTGGAAGAAATAGGTCATTATACCGTGTAGACCGTTGCTGTGGAGTGTGAAACAATAGGTTGCAAGGTAACTATCAAATAAACTTACCGCATCTCTTGTACCAGCCAGTACCAACAATCAGTGTATGTAGAGCCATATGTACAGACTTGTTGTAGGAAGGAAGAGACAAACAAAATGTTGGCAAAGTCTGTCAAACAGCTTCTGACAAAGGTATGGATGTTCCAAACCAACTACAGGTACCAACCTTGCATTTGAAATGTTGGCAGGGCAGCAGGTAGGCTCAGTGATGCTGTTCTGTCTGGAAGTCCAAAGGAATTGAAATTGTCCACACCTGTAGGCACTTGACGAACAGCAAATGTTGTTTGAGTTGTTTGCGGTAACAGAAGTTCAAGAGGCATGTTGGATCTGTACAAGTAGTGAAAACCTGTCTGTGATTCTGTTGGAGTTGTTTGTGGTTCTAGATGTACAGGAGTCCCTGTGTTGTGTGGTGATGCAGGGAAAGAGTTGTGTAGATCTGGATGTGTTGCTGACTGCTGTGCCAGAAGTTCAAGATTTCCTGTGTTTGGTCGGGCAGGGGTAGATGTTGCTCTGTTTGGTGATACCACATGTACAGGAGTCCCTGTGTTTTGTGGTATGTCTGTTGTTCTGGGTAGAAGTCCTTCTGTTGTGACTGTTGACTCTGGAGAAACAGACACACATGTTTACAGGTGACTTCAACCGGAACAGGAATCCATAAGTTTTATGTATAGTTAGTTATTATCCATTCACATCTATATCCAAGATAAGGTGTGCCCTCCTTCATTCAATATTTATCATGGTAAAATCCAAATTGATATTTAAAAATAAGGACCACAATTGAAAGCTTCCAAATGCTTCATTTTATATAAGAATTATATGAATTGTGTTGAGGGCTGTGATAATTACAAATTACACCATGACATAAGGAAGTGGGCGAAATGAAGCAAGACACAACTATAACTACATACTAGGCAAGATTCGTATCTAGCAGATAGCAGACTGTTAATGATTTGTGAATAGAAATTGTGTTGGGGAATTCCTTTGAACAATACCATAGATTTACAGAAACTCTACTAATTTGTTACTTTGTATGTAACAAAATGTACCGCTTACCTTGTGTTGAAGATGCCGACGGTAAAGAGGCAGCAGAACTGGAATTTTGCTGGTTGCCCTGCTGTGCCTCTTTGTTCTTCTTCTTTCTCTTGCTGGCTGAGCTGGTGCTGCTACCGGGCCTTCCGGTTACGTCATGGCTCTCTTCAGTCGTTCCTGTGCTGCCCTCTCTGTCCGAATTCCTTTGGCGTCTGTCCATTGTAAAGCCTGTACAGATAAATGTATATTAAGATAGCAATGGTTATCAAATGACATCACTATACTGTATATAGTTTGCCAATGACAGCCCACTGGCCCAACTAGTTGTAGTAAGACCATAGATAGATTGTACTTGTATTTTTGGCACGTTAGCAGAAATGTTTCATGACCAATGTAGAAGATTGCTGGCTCACATTGTTCTGCTTTCCGCTGATGTTCTGCTGCTTTCAGCTGATTCTCGATGTACCCCCCGAACTTCTCGTCCTTTACCAGATCCTTCTGGGACCCGAACGCTCGAATCCTTCCATTGTAGAGAGTAACCATCAAAGCCTCCACACCAAGTTCGTCAAGCTCCTCGGACTAAAAGTAACAACAATGCCCCAATTGCATTTTATATGCTATGTGCTACGTTCGAAATGATCGTGCTTGGACGCAATTCTTCTTTATTGTTCAAGCATCTAGTAAATTCTAGTAAACTACATTATTCTGTAGACATTAATCCATTTTCCATTTACATATGTTGAGAAGTTACTGATATCAACAAAAACTGCGTTTACTGGGTGGAACCTGATTCAAGTAAGGGGACTCCATCAGGTCGATGCGCATGCAAAGGAATGGATCGTAAATATCTGTCAAATTGACTCAAAGGATGTTTATTGTATTTTATATACTTCTTTTGAATGATTACTCTTAACCCTCAACAGTACACCTTCCCGGACTGATTAATCTGTACACCTGGGGTCCGCGCAGACCCCAGAACAGTTTTTTGCTAATATTTAGAAATTATCAACATGATACCAGCTCAATTGTTTTGCAAACTGATGTGGGAACCTCTGTGTCCTCATTACATACATACAAAAATCATACATTTTGAACTTTTTCTATTTTTTTTGGTGAAGAAAAGAAGACAAGAAGAAATACCCGATTTTTAAACCCATTTCAGACTGAAGGGGCTTTTGAGGCCCAACTTTGATGTCAGATAGCGGCTAAACGGCTTGCGCTAGAATTATCAAATTTTGAGACCTTTCCTAAAATGTCTCTGGAAAAAAGTTCATATTAGTTTAACCCTAAACAGTACACCTGGGGTCCGCGCGGACCCCAGCACTATATATTCTGTAATATCTTTTTTGTTTCTAAAGATTTTTTCCTGAAATTTTAGGTAATTGTCACCCACAAAGTTGTCTCTCAATACAGTGCAGAAAACTCCGTTTCTACCATTTATAAAAAAAATTATATCTGATTTTCTTTTGGGGTCCGCGCGGACCCCAGCCGGCTTTCGATCATAATGGATACACTGGCGTTTTTATATATTACCCTATTTCCGTTTTTATATGTTTTTATGCACTCATCGTATGTCTACCAAGTTTTCAGAGAATGGTGTAGTAATAGAATTAAATTTTAATAACTTTGGTGTAATTATGACATCATATGACATCAGAGCTAATAATATAGTCCGCCATATTGGATTTTGACCAATGACGTCATCAAATTAGCATATTCTATGCATATTAAATGATTTAACTTATATTTAATTATATAAGATGTTATTAATGTTGGAAAAGAAGTGTAATTTAATATAAAACTCAGAAAATTTTTATGTTTAAACCAAAATTTACTTCTATTTTCAAAACAACTGCCTGCTAGAAACCCGTTGCCATGGCAACACAAAAAAACATCAATTTACTAGTATTAAACTAATATGAACTTTTTTCCAGAGACATTTTAGGAAAGGTCTCCAAATTTGATACTTCTAGCGCAAGCCGTTTAGCCGCTATCTGAGATCAAAGTTGGGCCTCAAAAGCCCCTTCAGTCTGAAATGGGTTTAAAATCGGGTATTTCTTCTTGTCTTCTTCTCTTCACCAAAAAATGAAAAAGTTCGAAATGTATGACTTTTGATGTAATGTGGACACAGAGGTTCCCACATCAGTTT